GTTTAAAAAAAATTATTAAAAAATAAATGGGGCCAGCCCCGCTCCAATTTAATCGAGTATGGGTATGGAGTAAGAGAACAAATATACCTGATAGGACGTTGGTGGGAACACGACGGTTTTGGCCATTAATTTGGTCCCTATTTGAGCCCCATTATTCAAAATTCATTTTTTATCATATTCTCTTGGCAATATAATTTTGCACATTTCCCTAATTTTTAAGTACTTGTTTAAAAAAAATTATTTTTTACAAAATCTGTTCTTAAAAAAAAAGGACTTAATTTTTAATGATTTTTGAGGATAATTTAATTTAGTTTAATTTTTCTTTTTGGTCGAAATTCCTAGAAGTTTGTTTTTGGAGAGCATTTTGGACGTTTACAAATGGCCAAACGTGACTTCTATTTATTGTCGGGCCTCTGTGGCTTCTTTGTAAATAACCTCAAAAGACAGGATTTGAAAGAGCAAAAAAAAAAAAAAAATTTAACACGTCACTGTTTCATTACAAAACCAACGTTTAAAACTCAACGGCTAGTTTCAACTGACCGTTTTAGGACACCATAATTCAAACTTGCATCAAAGCCTCTCGCCAGCAGGAAAAGGGAAAACCCTTCTCACTTTAACTATAAAATCAAAGAAATAAGAATCACAAAAGAAAAGCAGAAAATTATAAATCTTTCTTGGATCCAGATTTTGATTCAGAGTGGAAAAAAAATTTGGGTCAAAGAAAATGGTGTACACATATACACCCACATACTACACATCACTGCATGACTCTATAACCTCTTTGTGCAAGAACATCCTTCCATTTTCCTTCAAGAAAAGGAGGCTTCCAGCAATTGCTGCAGCCGAGCAGCAGCTCTCGAAGCACCAGTCCGATAATCTGAAATGGCAGCAAGATTCATTCCACCAAATACTTAATCTAATGGGCCTTTGTAAAGAGGGCATTCTAGCTGAAACTGAGGTCTCTGCTTTCAGAACACATCTTCTGGAGACTCTAATAGCTTCGCCTGTAGATCAAGAGCCAACCGTCATTTTAAGGGACAAACTGATTTTTTTGCAGGTGAGTATTGGTATTGATTTGACATTTTTTGTGTGTACTTTCTTTGAGTTCTTACAGGGGTATCTAATTCTTATTTTCCTTTTCCCCTTATAAAGTAGTTTCTCAAGATTAATTGGGTGGGCTTTTCAGTTGAGCTGTAAAATATTCAATGGTGTTATGAACATATATTAAATGTGTGGCCGAAGTTATGACATGAATTGGATTTAATTCTATATTGAGTTCCTTTTGCAGTTGAAGCTCCCATATTTGTTAAACTTTTCGCCAAGAAATCGACTTTTTGTAGATGATTTGATGAAAATGTTGAAATTTACATTAAATCACATAAACAAATGCTAGAAATATTTGTTCATCTTAGTCCTGTTTGGTAAAGTTATTCTTCCAAATATGACGACTTTTGAAAGTACTCTTTTAATGTTTTAGATGATACTACTTCAGTCTAATCTTATGTTTGTGAGAATATCAAAATCAAAGGCAATTATTTGGGATTTTATCTTGTAGGAGCTGTTCTATGCCAAATGCATTTCAGAGGATGAGTACCATGCATCGAAACGGCCATTGTTACAGAGATTAGCAGTTCAAGGAGCTGAGATAAAAGCGCAAGATGTCATAGTGGGGGCACAGAAAGAGACTTCAAATGAAGACTGGTCGGTTATCGATTTGAAGGATGAGAAATGCTTGGTTAGTCAAGGGGGCTTAATGTCAAAGAATAAATCGAAACCGAGTTCAACAATAAAGCAAATTAAAGGAGCTGCATCTGTATTTGGCTTTGTATCACCCATTAAAAATGGCAAGTTGAAGGAAGAAAAGGATGATAACAATTTGATGCCATTACCGATTAACCAAAATGTAAGCACCTCAAGCTTTACAAGGAATGAAGTTGGACTTTCTACTGAAAATCCTTTCTGGAATAGTAATTTCAATGAGAAAGAGAGTGAAACAAAGTCCATTCTCATGGCAGAGAGCTTGCCAGCAGATTCTGTAAATAGTGACATGCAAAGCAGTGGCGACAAACCCAAAAAGAAACCGTTCAGGACCCTTTTTCAGAGAGACGGAAGGGCGAGTGGTGGTGATGATCATCATGGTCCCGAACATGAGGAGAAAGAAAAGATGAAATCAGGAAAGAAGCAATGGGGATTTGATGGATTCAAGAAATGGAAGAAAAATGATTCTGAGGACGAAACAGCTCCATTGTCCCTCAGTGAAAAATCGAGTGGTGAAAGTTACACTGGCAGGCTCGTCATGAATCCAGCCGCAGAGGGACCAGACACCAAGCAAATCAAGAGGAAATTGCATCCTGATGGTGCACCTACAGATTTCTTTGTTGACAAGGTATTGTAGAACCTCACATCACTATTGACATATTTGATATGTTGGACAAAATTATTACCGGATTGGACTAAGAAAGAAAAAACATATAAATCATGTTTGTTATCTCACGTGAACAATACTGTTTACTACTTTGTACCCAAGTTTCTCTATGTTTTTATCTTGAAAAGTGCATTATTGTTATTGAATTCTGTCAGCACTGTTTTTTTTTTACTAGGTTCTATTGGATCTTGAAATTGATCTGTTTGCTGCTTCTTTCTTGCATTATTATTTTCATGAAAATTGTAGGTTTTAGGAGAGAACATAAAGAAGGAGCTGTCACGAATCCGAACAGAACTTGGTGCAAAAAATCAAAATTTTCATTTGTCGTAAGTATTTCTTTTCTTCTCATCTACCTTTTGGAATTTTCATATATAGATTTCACAGCTAATTAATTTACAGTTGCATGTACTGTTCAAGCTATTTACATAATTAATATATTACTTGATGTCTCAACAGAGATGATCAACTTGAAGCAATCTCAACTAGGCTTCCAGTCGATAAGGCTGACCTGAAAAAGTTCTTCCCCAAGTAATTTTTCTTCATTTCTTGATTCAAATAATTGCTGTTGAGCCGACGAACTTATGAATTGAACAAACTAATAATTCTGTTTTAAGCTGTTGCAGAAACAATCTATACTTGTGTTTGTTTCTGTTACTTGCTCTAAAATTTTCTTGTCATTTCAGATCGTGGTGTGATCGATATGGTGATGTCGTGTTGGATGTGGTCAGAAAAGAATTCAAAGAGCATGTTGGCGAGATGGGGAATTCCCGTGTAGTAGCCAAAGAAAAGCACAACTCAAAAAGATGGGCCACATTTGAGGATGATGAAAACTGTCATCCAAATCTCTTTGCTCCTCAGGAGCAAGCAAGTTTCTCGTCTGCAAAGATGGCTCGTGCATCTATTAATACTAGTAGTAGTATCGACAAGGGCTTTAAGTATAATAACCCTTTCTTCAATGTTTAGGATAGTTGTAGAATACAAGCTGAGACCTGAATCATCTTCCTTTTAGGGTCTGAATTCTTCTCAAGCTTGGAAGCATGGTTCTTCTATGCCTCTGTGACTGTCAGATTAAAATGTGGAGTGGAGTGTGTTGTTTAGAATGATTCTACTCTGAACTTGTAATTCTGTTCCGCTGAATTTGCTGGAACAATTTGTTTTCTCCTAGCCTTTTCTCCTTTCAATTCAGATTGCTGGGAAGTTTTCCAGCTTACAAAGAGGCCTTCTCTCTCACGATATTGAATGCGAATAAATATTGAAGAAGCACTACACGTGCAAATAATAGGAATACACACAAAGGTTCAATAAAACAATTGGGCTGAATCCTGCTATGTTTCCAAAGAACTGGTATATAGTGTATGTTATGCACTTATCTAGGCTGTTACATATAGACACTTAGGAGTATTTTTGATGAATTATAGCTTAAGCTTTTGTATATATTGTTAGTTCAGTAAAACTCCTTAGAATTGAATTTGGAAGAAAGGAACAAAAAGTGGCAAAAAATGAGAATTTTCAAAGACTAAGAGAGTCTTCTTTCTCCTCCTCCCAGTCTCAGAGCGAGACGGTGCATGGTGGCTTTTGGTAAATAATGTTTTGTTGGTATGTTCGAAATGTTTTTGACATGGATAAATAACCGAATTGTTAAAATTTGATTTGATGAGTTCGTACTTCATATGTTTTCTGTTATTACTGTTGAATTATGTAGAACCTAGTTATAAGGAGAAACTCAAATCCACAAGAGAAGTTTTTTATTTATCACAGCGTGCTAATCTTACCAGGCGCAAAACTAAAAATGGAGTTCCAACTGAAATATATACAGTTGGCTAGTGAGGACATTGGTCTAATAAGCAGTCCAAGCAATGTCGAGGCCCGAAGATGAGCATCTTGTGTCAGGTGGCAGGAGATTTTAAATAATTTGCTTAGCTAACAGTTCTTCTACCTCAACCCCTTTCCTTTGGTTTGGTCAAAACATCAGCTGCGAAAGATATGAAGCCCTACTGTATGAAGCCATGGTCTTTCTAGCAACATATTCAAAGATGACTCGATATCATAGATATGGAATGAGACATCACGCACAGCGGGCCCTGTTTTCAGCTTAATCAGGTGGGCAGGTAATAAAGGAAAATGCTTGTCTGAGAAGGAAATTAGATTGCCAGTATGAAATTGCTATAACTTGTAACCAGTTAAGTGGATCAATTCATTGCAACAAATGTTACCAGTAAGGCAGATAAATAAATGTCAACATCTAAATCCGTTCAAATTAGTACCAATTCACAACCAAGAGAGTCGAAACTATCTAGCTAAATTACAACAGCAATCTACAATCCAACGCTGCCGCCTGATAATTAGAGAATAAATCAATTTTTTGGGATCGATATAGACGATCTGACCTTGTGAAGAAGCTCAAATCATCTTCGAAAGTTTTCTATAGTCTAATATCCATGAATTTTTGAAGTTAGACACCCCACTGTACATTGACTCAAAGTACACTTGTCGCTAAGTGAATTTTTTCTGACTGTGGACGTAAAGTATTGCCACACAATGAAGCCTTTTCAGTCAAGCAAGCATCACAAAGTCATTAGCAACCGTCTTTTACTATTACGAAAAGAAGAATGCAATGCACAGAATAACCTAAAAAGTCATTATGCATAGTAAGTAGAAAAAAAAGACCAGAATTAACTTGAACCTGCTTCTGTATCTTACAACACCAGTATAGCCTCATGCTTTATTTGGTGCCAACTCATTCACTTGACAACAAAATCAAGCTTTATGAAAGGAAAAACGTTGTCAATCATATGACATATTTACAGGTTATGACAATATCCAATTATAATCATCATAATCATAAGAATTACTGTAGATGGTGCTGATTTTGGCCATCCAAGGGTAAAATATATCTCTAACCTTGAAGCAGAACTTTAATGTTCTGAAGACCCTCTGAAAAAATGCTCCTTCGAACTCTAGATCTCTGCACCACAACAGGAGGTGGTGGCTCAGAATGAAAACAAACCATCACAACTGTCAAATTGTCTGTAGCCTCTCGTTTTTTGGCCTCATTCACAATATCTTCGCAGCATAATTTCACATTATTGTGTTCTTGGAGTCTCCTCCTAGCGAAATCCACTGCGTTTTGGCTTCTAAAAACTTCCCATATTCCATCACTGCCTAATATCAAGAACTCGTCTTCTTTCATTAGGGTCATCAATTTAAGTTCTGGCACAGCAATTAATGGTCCGCCGTTTTCCCCCTCCTTCAGTCCTTTAATATGCCAGTTACCTATTGCCCGAGTCACACTTAACTGCCCGTTCAAATAGTCGCCGTCAATGAATCCTCCAAGCGATTCGATCCGTGTCCTTTCGTCAACACAACAAGGCTTGTGATCCTTTGACATCTCTATAGCCAGTCCACGGCGAGACAATACAGCCCTACAATCTCCCGCATTTGCTACAAGTAATGATCTGTTCAAAATTGCACCACATTAGGTACATGAAATAACTGAACATTCAACCTGGAGCTATAGATATCAACATTTTCAGCAAATGCAATATATAAGAAGGAATGACGTGACCAAAACTATAATGCTTAAGATTTTTTGTTCAACGCACACCGAGAAGCTGCTAGCATAAAAATGATGTTTACCGGCCAAATATCATAGCAGTGAGAGCAGTTGTGCCAGAGGACAGAGTAGACTCAATCGAGCAAGATCTTGCAAAGGCAGTGTCCGTCTCCACAAAAGATCTCGTGACCACTTTCTCAAGTTTCAATGGAAAATCAGCATCCTCAACAATGATTCTTGGTAAGTGGTCGCGTACAAATTGCGCTGCACCTTTTCCCCCATGTCCATCAAACACCTGCCACATGAACAAACAGGCAATAAATTTTTTTCTTTTAGTGGTAATTCACAATAAAATGATATCAGGAATATTTTTGTAAGTACTTAATAATCATTTAGTTGTGAATTAGCCAAAAAAGTGATGCCAAAAATAAGGTTAAAGAACTTACACCATAGAAGGAGACAGCCTCCTCGCCATGTATACTACTACCAAAATTCATAGCTAAGTCTGGAATGCAAATGTGAGTGTCCTCCATGTCCAACCGCCGTCCAATATCGGACCACTCCCCGAACCGCAGGGCAGGAAGGAAGTTATTCAACACATTGTGTTTCCTGTTTATAATGGCCGCATCTTCTCTAATGCTTTCCAGCTAGGGAGACAAATGCAGTTAAACAATAACTGTTAGAGAAAGAGCTTTTATTCATGCAAGCAAAATGGGGCGGTCTGGTGATAAATCTAACATACTACAAATCAATTTAGTCTTCTATTGAAGAAGCTACTGTTAGCGTAGAAGAACAAGCTATGATTTTCTTACAGTGTACAAGGATAGTGCAAAAGGAGAGGAAAAGGAAAATTTTCAGATATCGAAACCCATTCAAAGTCAATAGATATAACACTTGCAAGCACAACAATCAACTGACGGGGCTCGAACCCGCAGCTTCCGCCTTGACAGGGTGGTGCTCTGACTAATTGAACTACAATCCCAGGGAAATAAGGGATCTAGCAAAAAAATTTATTCTTTTTTGATCTTCGAATTTCGTATGGGGTATTTCGGAAGGACAAGGGGGTTATACCATCTCATGGTAAATTGGCGAATTATTGGGCCGAACAAGAGAGATCTGCCGAAGAAGATCCTTCTCCTTCCTTTTTTTCGGAAGAAAAGGAGGATCCGAACAAAATCGATGAAATCTGATAGCTATTGAAATTGTTGTGATATACCCACTATTGTGCCGTTTACCCTAATATTTTATTTGCTCCAATCAAATCAGTGATGTTCTGATGAATTTAGAATACAATGGAACCTTCTTATTTCTAGTGTGCACCAAACAAAACAACTTGAACACCACAGATAAAAGGATGATACTTTGATATTCGAGTGCCAGCACTGCAGATATATAGTACATCTATTAATTTTGAATAATGGAACTTTGTTTATATGCATAATCTGAAAATTTGAGGAGGAGAAAAGATGCGTAGAATAATTTCTTCCGTTGGGATCCATAGATATGGGTTAAACGGAGCCTGTATATAGATTACTTGCACTTGGATTACATCTCTTCATTGTGCCTCTTCTATTTAAATTGGGTTCATATCCTACACAGTGCGTGCAAGCGCAACGCAACACTCTATATATACTATTAAATTTGAACTTTTTTCCACCCATCACTTATAACTGCATATGTGCCTCTATTTACTTTGTAGGCTCTTGATCTTCCACATAATTTTTTACTCCTTTGATAGTTCTCCAAAATCAAGATCAAATCTCTAGATAACCTTTTCATGTCTCAGTTTATTAAAGAACAAAACATTTTTCCTCTAACTCCAATGGGAAAACTATAAAGTTTGGAGCACTTTTAAAAGAAAATTGCAAACACTCAAAAAAAGTCCCAAACATCTAGGCTAGGCCCTTCAACCTTCTAAGCTCGAGGAATATTGAACTTCAAAAGATCGTTTAGCGGTGAGGATCGGATAATACTGGACAGTATCGAGAACAAAAATAAGCCTAAAATCTTGTTTATTATATATCACCTAGAACAACACTTTTATCACAAACAGTGAAACTGCAGAGACCATTAAGCTCTGAAAAATTTGAGCAAAATTACACTAACCTAAACATTAATCAAGCCTTCAAATTATATACCTGGGAGCCAAATTAATCAGATGAGTAAACAAAATCTTCACTAGTGAAGGAAAATTCAGAACTAATCAGATAAAGGTAAACCCTAACAAAAATCAACACATTACACAACAGCCTTACAAAATAAAAGACGACTTCAAACAAACATTCCAAGGAATTGAAGAGAAAAGCGTATTATGTTCCACTTACCGGGACTGAATTTGTCATAGAAACATTCTCCAAAGCCGATGAATTCTTGCCCCCATTCTCATTCTGGGCAGTGGCGAAATCAGCTTGAGGCTGCAAAGACGAAGACTTTATACATGATTCATCATCATTTTTGAGATTTTCCATTCCCTCTGTCTCTTCCTCTGCACCTTGAACACACATTTTCTCTTTATTTTGGGCTCAACAAATGTACAGTTTCTCTCTTCCTCTTCACTTTCTGTGCAACTTGTGGAATATACAGCAAAATTATTTAGCAATAATATTCACTATTTATATTGGGAAAAGAACATTCTGGGAATATGTTTTCTGTGGCTACAAAGTAGAGATGTATACCGTATACCCATATTGTAGCTTCTGCTACATGTGACTGTGTGGTCTTTACATACATAAAAACTGTATATAATATTTGTATTTCTACGAGTGGGTTAGATGAGAGATCCTTTTTATGCTTGTGAAAAGCGTGGCTGCAGCTGTGAGATGTGTCTTACATTTCTTTATTATGAAGTTAATTAGGAGGATAATATAATATTTTTGACTTTCTGGATTTTCCTGAACAAAATCTAATTTACAAATTTCATCAATTTTTATCGAAATTAATTAAGAATTTGATTTTTATCTAAACCAAACATCAGCTAAATATGTGTAGTGATTCATGTTAAAGATGTTATATAATTTTGCGCCGTCAAAAACTATTAGTTGTCCATGACATTAAAGAATTATCATGAACGGTATTAGTTTGATTTACCATGTAATTGTTATTCTATGTTGGTTGGTTACTTGTTGGTGTCAATGTTTTGTGTGGTTGAGTTGTACAAGTCATTCAAGAAATAGAAATGGGGGGAGGGGAAAATGAATTGTTGGGAATTCAAGAAAAAAATAATGGATTGCCTTTTTATAACAATTCAAGACACATGACAATGAATCAATATAAGTCTTTCTTTAATCAATAAATTATCACTAAACTTGTGATAAGAAAGAGGATTTTCTATGAAAATTAAATGGGACCACGCAAGGCATAGCTAGCGGCACAAGATTTGAACTTAGTAATATTAATTGTTGTTATGCAATGGAGTGATCCAATATGTGTTTTTATACGTTCTTCCTTTATTACAATATCACTTTTGCCTCGATTGCAATACCAATCGTCAGGAGTGTAATAATCAAACAGTCCCTTTCATGCAAACGAATCGATATGTTCTGGTCTTATTAAAGAATCGGCAAGTAAATGTTTGAAAGTTAGGCCAAGATCGACCTATAAATATGCACCTAAGTTTGGAGTGAGTCTGGATCGAAACATCGATTTTCTTTAAAGGCTGACAGACTTTTTTATACCAATTCAATATTTTTTTGAAAAAAATATTAACACGGCCCAACGGCTAACTTACGAGTCCGATAATTTAAACCAAATTGGTCCAGATTTTTTAGATATTTGTCTAATGATCCTCAAATCTGACATCGCCTGGTGATGTTAAAAATGACTAATTTCCAAATTGATCTCTCTTTTTTATAGACTTCGCTAAAATTATGATTGCATACCAATCTTTATAATTTAACCATGTTTAAAATTGATTGGATGAATTCATTTTTTCAACACAAATTTAATGTACGGCAGAAAAAATATTAGTTACAAAATAAGACCAATAGAAAAAGATTACTTGTCATCCTCCAATAAATCAACATTTGATTATTGTGTCCAATATAAACATTTAACATACAGTAAATGCACCATCATATATTAAATATATTATTTTTCCATAATAAAGTTTTGATTTGTATTGGTACACGTTGATGTGATGATATATAACAAGTAATTAGCGTTTTAATATAATAATACTTTCCTTTAAAAAAAGAAAAAAAGAAATCTGAATTTAAAATTTAAATGTAAACTTAATCATTGGCCTTTTTGGTTGGGTTTTGCTTTTGCTTTTGCATCTTGTAATCACATAAAGTATCTCCAAAAAATTATTCAAACAAATTCAAAAGTATTACCAAACAAAAGACTTTTGAATGAGTACAATATTGCGGATAAGGGACACGTTTATAACATTAATTTAATAATTGAATGTATCACTATGCAGAGCAAAATAATATAAAATATGAAATATATAAAAATATTATTACAAACTTAACTTCTTCAATATTGTTTAATCGTATCCTCTTTAATATTCGAGACCTAACCAAAAGACTATTATAAAATTATTTATGGGATGGATGAATGTGAATGCATAATCAAATATCACCAAAAAAAGCAGCTTTTAAGTGATTGCGTGCTGTGTAATTTGATTGGAACCCATTATTTTAAATTAGAGCATATTATATTGGTAATGATTGTGCCACGAATTCAAAAATGAAAAAGATGATGATGCAAAGACAATGATGATAATATTTCTAGTTTGACAGTGGAGTGCTAATAGACAACTCTTGTACGGTAAATTATTCATAAACAGAGGTTATAATAGTCATTCTATGTAACATTATTATTCCAGACATTAATTTTCTGTAAATGTTTTATTTCAGATAACAAATTAATGTCTCAAACAATAAACTATCACATACGACAATCACCATAATAATCAACTATACCTGATATTTTAGTATTATAATAGAAAAAATCTTCTCTCAGATTTATTCTGTTTTGATTGGTCCACTCAAAATGCACATTGAGTCACACGTTACAGGGCAAAAAGGCTTCTTTTCTGTTACATCTTTTTATCAATCAATCTTGACCTTTCTTTTGTGAATATCTTTTTATGCCATAATTTATTGTGTCATTTTGTGTAATTGATTCAAATTAGAAACTGACATATCGTAATTAATAAATTATTGGTTTACATGACAGAGTAATGTTATTTGTACATTTATGTTACATTATTGTTTACATAATGATGTGGATAACATGGAAGAGAAAAAAAGAAAATGTCATCTATTTGTATACCATTATGTATATAATGAAAATATCATTACGCATACTTGGCAATATTAGATTAGCAAAGACAAGAAATGATATCGCATATTATTAGATAGTTTAATTTTGTGTTATTGTAAAGAAAAAAGTTTTAAAGAAAATTATCGTACCCGACTTAATGTTTTCCACTTTTTAATTTTTATAGCAAAACATAAGGTGGCTGACATTATTGAAGTTGATACTTGGAAGTGGCCTTTAGCTCGTTCCCTAGTTTTGTCTGATTTCATGTGAGACACGCTTAATGCTTTTCGGCCAGATAGTCCTAGAGAGAATGTCTTGCGATGGGTGGATGATGTGCATGGAGTCTTCTTTGTTCATGGTGCTCAGGAGTCTCTTCAACCTCGATGCCCTAGGGTGACCTGGTATCGCATTGTATGGTTTGCTAAATGTATTTCCCGCCATGCATTTATCCTTTGGTTAGCAATTCAAGGTGGCCTCTATACACAAAAAACTTTTTTGATTTGACTTAATACAGTCTAAACGTTGTGTGTTGTGTAGTTGTTTTGAGGAAGATTTAGATCATCTTTTCTTTGCTTGCCCATTTTTTGAGCATGTTTGGCAAGCTTTGCACGTGAAGTGTAACTTGCCCTGGTTTCAGCGATGTTGGCCAAATACTCTTTCTTGGATGGAGCAGTTTCGTGGGAGGTCATTGCGCTCTACTATTATTCATTTGATGTTTGCAACTTCGATTTATACTATTTGGCGCGTAATGCTAGGACCCATGATGAGCCTCCTAAATATGAGTCTGTTGTTATACGGGATATTGTTTCTACTATTTGTGTACGAGTAGATTTATGTAGAGACTTGGCTCCATCTAATGAAAATAGATGGTTCCAACGCTTAAGGAGTTTTTCTGTGGATATTTTTTCTTGTCATGGCTAGGCTATCAATCTAGGCTTCTCTTGTTGGTGGTAGGAAGGCATATATTCCTAGCCTTGTTTTCTGGGGTATGCTCCTGTAATATTAAATTTTATTCTTACACTTTGGATATAATACACTTACTTTATCCAAAAATAATAATAATAATAATAATAATAATAAATAATAATAAAAAAGTTAAAAAGGTTTCTTGAAACATCCAGACTTTAGGGACCAGTCAGCTTTCTCTTGATCAAGGAGGTGGAGAAGTTGGCCAATCAAATAGAGACAAATAAAGTTATTGAAAAAAAAAAATAAAGAAATATTGTCGTGAAGGGATCAGGATCAATTATATTAATGTTATAGATTCTTGACTAAAAGACAATTTATGTTTCCATCTTTGAGCCATTTTTCTTTCCTTTTTTCTAAAAAGTGTGCAATTCATTTTTTATTTAAGATGACGAGAAAAAAAAATGTATCTTATGATGCACGCCACTAAATTTCGTATTTTCTTTGATCAATGTTTCGATCAATGCTTGATCAAGAAGAAACTTTAACGACCATCATGTATCGTACGAGTGATTTAAAAAGTTGACTGCTAGTCTGATAACTAGCATACAGTATCATTCTTTACTAATGGATTAAAAGATCGGGAAGCGATGGATAGCTCGAGATGCTATAGAAGGCAAAGCGATCATATACCAACTATGGCAAAACCTCAGCCTCCTACATTGAGTCCACATCGATCATTGATTTGGTCACCCTTATCTTTTAAAGCCCCTCCCCCTTCCCTTATTCCCACCAAAATCCAAGAACCGTTTCCTGACCCATGTCAACGCTACTGCATATTTGCTCCATATAATTTCTATTGATATTCTTTCAATTAACCGTTAACTTACTCTCGCACAGGAAGGGGGGACGGGAGCTAAGGAGCCCGCCTTTTCTACTTTTGTAGGACTTTGCTAGTTGATTATTGAAATCAGAAGCGATTAAATCGAAAATGCCTAACCCTTTTTTCTTAATGTGTCCAATCTAACATAAGTCATACCATAAAATTTTAGCGTCATTTCTTGAAATATTACATGCAAACATCTATGTAGGTTCTTGTATGCCTCGAATTAGCTTCAAATCAAAGCCGAGAGACGAAGGATAGTTTTAAAGAAAATTATCGTACCCGACTTAATGTTTTCCACTTTTTAATTTTTATTGCAAAACATAAGTTAAAAAGGTTGCTTGAAACATCTAGGCTTTAGGGACCAGTCAGCTTTCTTTTGGTGAAGGAGGTGGAGAAGTTAGCCAATCAAATAGAGACAAATAAAGTTATTGAAAAAAAAATAAAGAAGTATTGATGTGAAGGGATCAAGATCAGGATGAGGATCAACTATATTAATGTTATAGATTCTTGACTCAAAGAAAATTTATGTTTCCACATTTGAGCCATTTTTCTTTCCTTTTTTCTAGAAAGTCTGCAATTCATTTTTTATTTAAGATGACGAGAACAAAAAATATCTTGTGATGCATGCCACTAGAGACAAATAAAGTTATTGAAAAAAATAAAGAAGTATTGATGTGAAGGGATCAAGATCGGGACTAGGATCAGGATCAACTATATTAATGTTATAGATTCTTGA